GAAATCATGGCTCCCTAGTCACATGGACTGCAGACTGGTTGTCGCAGAAGATTCTCACACACGAACAACTCACAGGCTCAAACATGAGCTGATTGAGAAACTTCTTCATCCATACAGCCTACATGACTGCCAAACAACATGCCACATATTCAGATTCTATGGTGGATAGGACTACAACATCCTACTTCTTGGACTTCCAAGAAACTACCCCACCACCTAGCATGAAGATATAAGTAGATATCGACTTCATGTCATCAAGGTCTCCTTGATAATCAACATCCGATTACCCCCTGTATGACTATATCCGACCCGCCTCCATATGTGAGTGCATAATCCGTAGTTCCTCTCAAACATCTTAGTACTCTCTTAACAGTTTTCCAATATTCCAATCCAAGATTGCATTGGAAACGGCTAATCACACTCACGGGAAATGACATGTGTGGCCTTGTACCTGACTAGATGTAGGTGAGTGACCCCACTGCGTTGCGATAGCGCATTTTCTCCATGGCTTTTCTCTCAACCTCATCCTTATCAGTTAGGCACATTTGCAGGCTTAACTTGATCTTCTTGTCTACAGGGTTGATATGGACCTACATTTGTCCATTTCAAATTTTTCCAACACCCTCTTGCAATAGGTTGCTTGAGAAAGTTGAATGGTCCTGTTTTGCTTGTTTCTTGTTATCTTTATGTCCAACACATATGATGCTTCCCCTAAGTCTTTCATATCGAAGTGTTGTGAAAAGAAATCCTTAGTCTCCTTCCCTAGAGCCATCGAGCTACTTACAATAAACATATCATCCACATACAATGAAATAAACACTACATCACACCACTTGCCTTGACATAAATGCAGTAATCCTCTTGGCTAGAGGTAAAACCTACTTCAGACAAGATCTCTTGGAATTTTATGTAATTTTATGTACCACTGCCGTTAACTTTGCTTAAGGTCATAAAATAATTTTATAAGTCTACAAACCAAGTCCTCTTTTCCTTTTTCTATGAAGCCCTCATGTTGTCTCATGTAAATTTCCTCTTCAAGCTCCCCATTTAGAAAGATTGTTTTAACATTCATTTGATGGAGCTGAAAGTCAAAATGGGCTACTATGGTAATCAAGATGCTAATTGATGGGATGTTAGGGAAAAGGTTTCATTATAGTCTACCCCTTCTTTTTCAGTGAACCTTTTAGCTACAAGTCTAGCTTTGTATTTCTCAAGTTTTCCCTCAAAGTTCAATTTTCTTGAACACTCACTTGCATCCTATTGGTTTTTGATCACGAGGTAGAGGCACTAATTCCCAAACCCAATTTTGAATAATGGAGTGGTATTCTTCACTCATGGCTTTTTCCCATTGGTTTCTTTCAGGACTAGATATGGCTTTTTTATAGGTTGTAGGCTCATTGTCAAATTCATCCCCAATTCTTTCATAGTCTTCCCCAAGGTAAGTGAAGAACTCAAGTGGTCTACTAATTTGGTTGCTTCTCCTAGGGGGTTTGTGGTTCGGGTTCTCGAATCTCAATCATGTCAACAGTCATCTCAAAGAGATTAACCTTATTGTGACTACATCTTGTTTCGAGAAATTCATCATCAAAGAAATAAGCATCCTCACACTCTAGGACTACCCTATTCTCTAGGTTGAAGAAACAATAGCCTTTACCATGGTCTGGGTATCCTATAAAGATGCACTTGACAATTTTATGATCAAGCTTGGTTCGGTTTTGGTATAAGATGAGAACATGGGCTGAGCATCCCCACACTTTTAAATGGTCAAGGGATGAAGCACGACCAATAAATATTTCGTGTGAAGTAAGTGGAGTTGCCTTAGTGGGAGAGCGATTGAGGATATACCTCGTCGCCAATACTGCCTCTCCCCAGAATTCTAAGGAGAGCTTTGCATGTCCCATCATGCTCCACACCATCTCTACCAAGGTCTTATTCCGTCTCTCGGCTACACCATTTTGTTGTGGTGTATAGGGCATGGTAAATTGATGAATTATGCCATGCTTTACACACATCTCTTTAAAGAGTTGTGAAAAATACTCATCATCCCTATCGGTTCTTAGGACTTTGATTTTCATGTTGGTTTGGTTTTCTACCTCGGCTTTATAATCTTTAAAATGGTCTAGGGCTTTGGACTTGGAATGTAGCAAATAAACATCGCCCAATCGCGAGTGATCATCTATGAAAGCGATGAAATATTTCTTGTGGCTTTTGGTTGCCATATTCATGGGATCGGATATATCATTGTGGATGATTTCTATAATGTCAGAGGCTCTTTGAGCTTTCGTAAAAGATTTTTTTGCCAATTTTCCTTGCACACGTGATTCACAAATTTTGGATAAGTTCCTTTTATAATTCGTTTATGATTTATATGCCCTAATCGCATATGCTATAAGTAAGCATCATTCTCACATTCAGGGGACGAGACATCAGCAACTGGATTCTTTATTTCAATTTCAAAGAAACCATCCTCTAGTATACTGGTTATAACAACTTCCCATGAGTCTTAACTGTCACTTATCAACAACCAAAAAAATGACATAGTCGGCCTTTGCCAATTTTGGTACTGAAACCAAATAATTCCTCATTTCGGGAGAATATAGTGTTTGCTTTAAGACCGCTACTCCATTTTTCAAATTCCTAACATAATCCCCAAAGCGCCAAATCTTAGTCTTTTGATTTCCACCCCATGTATATGAATTGCTCACCGGAATCTACCGGCTGGAAATTACGATATCCTTCCTTGGAGTAGCACCCTTGACATCGGTTGTAGCACTTGGGTTGCAGCACCTGAGTTAAAGTACCAAGTAGCACCCTTGACATCGGCTAGCATAGCTTCAAATACCACACAAGGGTGTTCTCTATTCCCCCTAACACTATTATTTTTCTCTCTACAAAATATCATTGTCCCACATTACCGCATTTATGGCACTCCCTTTTATCTCTAGGCTCTCTATTTTTCGGCTCCCTCTCCCCCTTTTGTTAATCTTAATTTTCTTTTTCGTGTGACTGAAATTTCCTTTGCCCTTACCTTTTTTCTTAAAATTATGAGCATTAGGCTTAAAGTTAGCATGAACTGCATAATGAGGTGCAGGTATCAACACACTTTTCCTCTCTTCCTCAACCCTAAGGATCATAAGCTCCTCTAACTTGGGAGCAATCTCTCGGGCAGAGAGATGATATAAACACCTCCCAAGAAGTTGGGAGTGTTCAACAGATGACAAACTTGCATAGGCTCAAGGGTCTTCATGTTGATGGCTTTGAGCTCACGAATCAAAGCCCGGAACATGTGCAAGTGCTTGGGAAGCTTGGCTCCTTCAACCATTTTCAGATCGTGATAGTTCTTTAATGCAAGGGTTTGCTTGTCTAGAGAAGGATCAACAAATTCCTTCTCTAGCCTTGCATGTATAGATTTCGCAGACTTCAAGTTCTCGTAATCCGATGCATAAGAATCGTACATCGAAACAAGTAGTGTATGGTTGGTAAGCATATTCTTCCACTCCCATTGTGCATATTTATCTCTTATGTGTTGTCTTTCATAGGCATTTTTCTCTTAAAACTGGTGGAAGATCTTTGGTAAGCATATCGTGGAGATCTTCCTCATAGAGGACATCCCACTTTACGCTTCCAAGACGTAGTTCCTCATCGAATCTTTTTTATTTCAAGAGTTCGGCCATAAAACTCTTTGCAACCATGACTTTTAAATCAAATTACGACAAGATAAAAAAAATAAAAAAACAATGGCAGCAAGAAGACCTAGCTCTGATACCAATGAAAGGTGGACTATGTATCTGGGCAAGTCAAAACTGATTAAAATAATTCTTTTTTTTTTTACATCGCCAACTGAATCAATCACACGTGCTCGAATATAATATATGAAACAAATAAAAATCCAATGACTCTCACTTGCTTGCCATTAAAACAAAATTACATTCACATCATAGATTTGAAAATTTCATAAAAAGATGTAATTGAATTAAAAGAGCATGAACCAAGAAATTACCATATACTTTACTTCAGGTTAGCCCAAGGACTTAGCAGACCCCACATCGGGCCTCCTCCACCAATGGTAGAGAATGTAAGACTTAATTGATATAGATTTAGTACTTTCTCTACATACTATTTTGATGGGAATAAATCTATGAAAACTGAGGGATAAGGGTCATTCCTATAATCATGATGGCTAATCTAAAGAATGAATGGATGACATCTCTTCACCCTACAGGTCTCCAAGATCAATGGTCAAAATTAACTCTCAAAACGATGGCAAAACCCTAACCCTAGAAACCCTAGCTTCTCATTCTCTACACACTTGATCTCAATCATTCTCTCTCTGAGACCCGACATGGCGCGTGCTAAGCCCTTGGGGATAACCTGAGACAAGTTATACCGTAATTTCCTGGTTTATGCTCTTTTGATTTAATTGTATCTTTTATGGAATTTTCAGATCTATATTGAAAATGTAATTTTGTTTTAATGGCAAACAAGTGAAAGTTATTGGCATTTTATTTGTTTCACATATTATAGTTGAACACTTATGAGTGATTCGGGTCGCAATACAAAAGAGAAGGTAAAAAATTTTAATCGATATTAACTTGCCCAGTCACATAGTCCACCTTTCAATTCAGCCCCTAGATTGAGTTATATTTATTTGACTGTAAAAAGAAAGATCCTATATTGTATTTATGGCTTTGTTTCTTATTTGCAGCATTGTTTTATGGTCCTTATAAGTGGAATGCAGATATATTAATAAAAGAAAAGAAAATTATTTATTTTATTCCCTGAAATTCCAATTAGCCACTTCTTTCGAAGGATCTGCCCTTCCAGGCAGCCAGTCTAGGCTAGAATCTATGTAAGATGGGACCCACAACTATCTTCATGGTTGACCTGGGAAAAGGGGTGAATACCATGTACATCTTTTGATCAAGCTATCAGATTTAAAGTGTCAATAACTCCAATGGACATTGCTCAAACATGGTAAATTATGAGAGTCAAAGTCATACCTTATCCTCTAACCCTTGGAATAAAATTACAGGGCAAGAAAATCTTTCAACGAAGTTGATAGGTGATCTATCATAGAAATTCTTTTCAGCACCTGCAAAATTAAAGATAGCTAATCAACTGAAACAACGAACCAATTCCGAGAAAAAGATTATGCATATAACTACTTACCAAGAAGATTGTCAAGATAACGAGACTCAAACTTGTGTGTGCTTTCCTTTAACAGGCGCAAATCAGCAACCTGCAAATTTTATGCATCATGAAGGGCCCCAGAGACTTATCAGAGTTATTTTCGACTAGGAGTGGAAAAGCTTTAAGAACCTGAACTTTCTAACTAAAAAAATGAAGTCTTCCAGATTTAAGAAGTCTTCTGATGATTCAGCCAAGCCATGCATCACAAAACTAAAGTCTAAATGCTTGACAGTTATCAATACAGAAAACTTTGAATCTTTGAGCTCAAATTTCATCCATCATCAATCAATGAAAATGCATTTATGTGAAATTCATGTGAAATGCTTTACTAGAACATCATCAGTCACTTACACCAAACAATGAAGCACCAGCCTTAAATGTCTGGCTGAAAGCAAGAGCAGCAAGTGTAGTGTAACCCCCTGCTGATCTCCCTGTTATACAAAGTTGTTCCCCATCTGCCTTCCCACTGTCAACCTGCAAAAAACAACTTGATTCATCAGTTTCAGTTTAAAGCAACTGCTTTACATTCCAGATTAGCCATGGTTAAGCCAAAAGAAACTAAGGAACATAAAATTTACAATAATTACCAGGAATTGTGCACAACTGCAACAGTCATTGACATCAACAATGCCCCAGTTTCCCAAGAGTCTTTCTCGATACTCCCTGCCATAACCTTCAAGCAATACATGCCTAATCGGTTAATGTATTTTGAACCCTTGTTATGAGAATCTCCTATGATAAATTTCAAGTACAACATATATAAGACTGGTAATTTCATGTCAGAATGTATGACATCGCTTTCACCTGAACTCCAAAGCAAAAAGAAGTTTGCATTCATGGCAACATGCACGTCACTGAGCACACTCGCATAAATGCTTTCTCGTGCATTTAGTACTCGTGCCTCAATCATCTTTATCCAAGATTTCATGTCAACAGCTAGAACAACTTAAAAAAGGGTAAGGTTAGGACCAACCAGTGCTTCCACCATAGTTGACATCTACAAAAGCCCATCCTCGACTAGTCCAGTACTGAATACTCAAATCCAATGTTCCATGTGATTCACTTGTAGGACCTCCTGCAGAATTTTACAGAAAGTGAATGCAAATTCAAACAGAAGATTTTCTTAACGAACTCTCTACATGATTCACACAGACCTCTTTTAAACCAAGAACTATACATTGATCGAAAGAACTATCATATGCACATAGGGCAAATGTTGTTTAACCTAAATCGCTAAAATCCACCCTTATTCCCTGTTGTTTCCACAATTTACCACTATTATCGTCACATATTTCCTTCTAAACATAACATATTTTCCTTTCTCAACAAAAACATGAAACATAAGCCTTTACATTCAGCAAACTCCTTCAAGAAACAATTAAAAGGGCGCAAAAAAAAACCATGAACAGATTTGACTGAGAAGTTTGAAGACTTTGTTGCATCTTTTCCATCAGTATAGCTCCTTATATGCTAAATCACTTAAATTATTCTTTACTTGAAGAATCATCAAACTATTAGTGAACAGATAATGTTCCAAAAGAAGCACATCATTTACCATGGCTTTTCAATAACAGTGGAGGTTTTTCACCAGGAGTAGCATCATACAAGGGGTTGAATGGGGGATAAAAGTAGGCATATGCCTTTTGTCCTTGAACTTCTGTAGGAAACTCAATTATCTCTGGCAAGCTGATATATGGTTTAAAGTGCAAAGAATCCAAAGAGGAAGAACACCAAATTGTAGTGAGGTCCACCACCTTTAACTCCATGCCATCTAAGGTCAGCTGGGTAACTCAGAAGGAAAAAGAGGATGAATAAAAACATGTTAGAATATAAAAAAAAGAGAAATTGGAAACAAGATTCATGTAGCGGACCCTAAATAATTGGGATAAGGCTTGGATGATGATGATGAATATAAAAAAAAGAGTAAATAAGTGTCTTTTACAATAGAAAAGAGAAGAACCTCATAAACACAAACAAATAGCGCAACATGCCTTAACAATAGATGAAGGGTGGCTTGAAGATGCAGCCACGATGTACAAGCATCTGTCTTTTGTGATCTGCAGAAGACAAAATCAGTATATGCCAAACTGCGAAAGAATGCAATGAAATACAATGCAATCTATCTTCAAAAGATCAACTTTTTATGTCATAGAGGCAATCTATTATCAACAACGGAATCATTTTCTTGTCTGATGAAGGGAGAAAAGATTTGAATGTTAAAGAAGCATACAATGTCATTAATATCTGTGAAAGGAACATCAATGGATGTGAAAGAGCCTAGAACAGTGTCCAGGATTCCTAGATATGATTTCCCCTTCTGCCTGTAAATCATCACTCAATAAATTAAATTACAATAGAAAAATAAGATCACAACTCAATACATAAATATAAAGAAAAGACAGTTCTATAATAATTACTAAAGAATTTTGCAAAACCTGTAGCTGCAAGCAATTAAGGTGGCTTGCCCATTTTGATGAATAAAATCATAGGAGTTGATACCAAAGACCCAAAATGGTCTGCTGAATTCAGCATCCAATGTGTATAAGGGTTGTATCTCATTATTGTGTTCTATCTGTAAGAAATGATAACTGCATATCAGCTACATTGATTTGCAAAGAAAGTTCTGACAAATTTCAAATATAATAATTTTGATTAGCTGATAGACTACTAAGCAAGCTTATTCCTCTAATAAGACTCATGTATATCGACCATATATAACATAATAAAATCATCAAGTATGTGCTCCATGTATACACTTCAGTAACATTAAGACCATTTCATGTCAGTAATTTAAACCTAGGGCTTGGGTGAGGAGTCGTCAGGGTTTTGAGCCTGAGTCAACAGTCCAACTAGGCCAAGACTCACCAAGAATTGGCCTAATCTTTATGGAAATAACAAAAGGTCCATGACCTTGTGAGACAAGTGTGAGTCTTGGGGTTTCTGGACCAGATCCAGCACCCTGCTGGGACCAGGTGACTGGTATATCTGAGAATGAGTCATTGAGTTTTAAAACACTGTTTCATAGTGTTTCCTCGAACCTGCAATTTTTTTAAGTGTCATAGAATATGAAGAGAACAACAGAAAGCTACACCAATCAGTACAGTCCAAATCATGCTCAAGTTAGGGTCATATGCATGAAACATCTATAAGTTCCACAAATATTTGTTTATCAGCCCCCATTCCCAATAGAAAAATATTTCGTATAAGGTTGACAACTTATATTGTAGAATTAAGGAATACCTCAAAAATACATCGAAAAAGACTATTTTGATGTTGGAAAACCATCTAATTGATCATCTTGACATTGAGATGCATAGATATAGAAAAACGAAAAGATTCTAAGTCCCAAAAATAGAACATCTTGATGTACATTATCTGGACAGTCCATTTTCAAGATTTTCATGCATTTATAGATCAGCTTGATTTAAACCATTTTTTAGAGCTTAAGCTTTTATAATTAGAGATGAAAATAGATTTTCGGGCCACCCTAAGAACTTTCGATACCAAAATTGTATCTTATGACAATGTTTGGAGGTGCGCCATACTTCGGTTGTTTAAGGTTGTGACCTTATGCAAATTACACCCTTCTCAATATTCATATTTGAAATATAATGTTCCACATTTATAGGAGCAGTAAAAAATGTGTTGTGAGCCAATCAGCTCTTTGGGTATGTCATACCTTGGGACAGGAACTAATCCTCATGGAATGTTTTACTTCGATAACTTTATTATTTACAAGTGGTTCATTTAAGGGAATGGTTATTTCATTATCTAGGAATCTCAGGACTTCATCCCTCCAAAAATAAGGTAAGAGGTTACAACTGGGAAGTGACTAAAATCAATTTTTATCCAGGATTTTCACTGGGAAGTGACTAACAAAGGTGACAAAGCGAAGAGATTTCTGCTCATGATTTGGAATCAAAAGGCTCTGAGGATCTTTTAGACTACTGTTTGGGAACTGTTTATGCAATGGGTGGGGTTATTAAATTTACAGGTGTAATAAACTGAATTTTTCCTTCATAAGAATTACAACAAATATAAATAAATAATAAAATGAACTCCTTTCTTTAATCATTAGAATGATCTTACACAACAAAATTCCACACAATGTAATAAGAAAATGACAAGCAGCGGAACGTTTGATTTGTTATCATGCACCTTCTCATTACAAGGTTTAGATGAGAGCCCTCTCCATAGGCCATTCTTATTATATTTTTTTGTGAACAATTACAACAGGACAGGAACACCCTAATAAGAACATGGGAATACTATCAACAAGAAGAACAATAATGACTAAAAAAGCCCCAGCCATGTCTTCTCCACCATTTTACTGTACCATCAGTTGTAGGAAAGACATGATCATTACGGTACAAGGGCGAGGCAATATGTGGATTAAAGGGGAAGCTGCCTTGTTTCGACCTTTGATGCAAATCAGATCATGGAATAGCAGAGGCGAAACTATGACCAAATTTGAGTAATGAAATTATTTTTTATTCAATAAAGTCCTGTCTGGTGGGGATAGAAGCGCAGCTCGAAGCCTGCTTATTCATGCAGGCTGCTTGATGCCGAGATTCTCACCACGGATATAGACAATAGTGCCAATCTTTGTGTGCAAATGGCATATCAGTGATGGTGCCATTTCTTAAAAAGGGCGTTACTGCAGCAGAGTAGGACCATATATGAGACTATGAGAACTTCGAATAAGATCAATCAAGCTTGTAAGCCTCTATACACCTCGCACTCAGCAAAGTACCTAGCATTATTTCGAAACAGAGCTCATAAAGGTTGTCTCCTTCATTGCCACTAACACTCCTTATGCAGTGGGTTGTCGCTGCATCCTGGCAGGAGCTGGTTGCTCTCTCGAATCCCATAAAAAACAAATTACTGAACTAGTGAGTGACAAGATAATACATAAATACATACACTGAGGCAGGGCAATAATTCCAACGTATATGACCATTTGGAATACATACACTGAGGCAGGACAATAATTCCAAGTATATGACCATTTGGAGAAAATATTAATCTACTAATAACGACGCAGCAAACTTTTTAAATTACATTTGTATAGTCATCTTTTGTAAACAAATTTGCAATAGCATTATTTCTTTGAATTCATCATACATTACTGACAGAAAGGGAGTTAGTTCATTTGAAATAAAGACCAGTCACAATTATAGAATCTATACAAATGATAAATTCCTCATTATATTCTTCACTTCAAAGGAAATACAATTTAATACATGAATGCTGATCAATATTGTTGTCGAAAACATGCATGACAAGATAACTAATAAACTGCAGTAAAGATGGGATAAAGTCATTTCAGTAAGTATGCAAATATTTAGGTATGTGTCTATGTATATGTACAGACATGTGCACACACACACACAGAGGAATTAAACCATATAGTTATATAGAGAGACAACAGACCCATTTATACAAATTCCAAAAACCATTCTTCCTGTCTGTTATAAAGAAGAGCTCTCCTGCACAAAATCAAAACAAGAGTTTAAGGATTGTACATAGAATGTCACGTAATAGACATTTAGAAAGCCAATATGTGATGATAGTTCCCAATGGTACCAATAGAAGGGAGCATGAAGTCAGACATGCCATTACTGCATTTAACATTGTAATGATGTAGCAAAATGGATTGAGCCAAAAAAAAAAAAAAACTTCTATAATGTAACTATGCGGCACAGAATTCAAACTTTGATTTGACCAAAGTCAAAGGAATTCAATGGACACAAACTCCGATATCATTGACTTTCCAAGTCATATTAACCAAAAATATTCAAACAAAATATTCATTTGCCAGAAAATTTGCATCAGTTGTTGATTAACGTTCGATTTCTGTCATGCTTCATTCAAGTCATCCAACCCCGCTCCTTGCCATACCCTCATGAAGTTAGACATGTTCCTCGTAACCACTTAGTGGGAAAAGGCCTTCCTAGGAACCCATTTGAGGGGCGCTATCCAAAAGCATCTCCAACCACTCCCCCAATCTTCTGGATTCAGAGTCTATGCCCAGGGAGCCTTCTTGTTTCAGATTTGAGCTCCTGTAGCTAGAAGAACCTCAATTAGATAGCTTCATACGGCAGTGGCTGTATTCTTTTTTGGTGTTTTGTTGGGCTGGTTTCATATTGTTGAAGAAGTTCGAATTGCTGATATCTAAGCTCAAATCCTGGAGCTACCGCCAGTTCAGTGCCATCCTTGCAAAGGACTGCCACCTTTGTGAAATTGAGGAATTCAATTCCAAGAGCAATCTCCTGAAGAGAGGTCAAACAAACCTGTGGCAAAATTATAACACAACAAAACCGCAAAGTAAGAATGGATTTTCAGGACCGGTGTCCGAGAGTTCAGTAGTTGAAGGAAGGGGATCGGAATAGAGCCTTTTTCACAAAATTCCTAGCTGTCATAGGTGCGCCAAGTCCATTCTCCAAATCATCGACCAAGGATGTTCAAATACAGAACTATGGGACGTAGCTCCAGTAATCAAAGATTTTTCAGGAAGTTTTGTAGAGCCCAAACGTATACAAGGACAATGCTTACGAACTTAAATTTCAGAATGTAATCTGATAGTGAGCTGCCTCCTGAGAGGTCTTTCACAGAATCCAAGATCCACAAGGCCATTTAATTTTATTCGAGTATTTAACTTTTTCTTTGATGATTAAGAAAAAAAGAAATAAAAGGAAAAGAAGAATCCAAACACAAAATTGCAGAAGTATCAAATGCAAAGTGATATCAAAGAACCTGATTCAGATGGAAAGTCTCTGCTGCAAGCTTCAATGATGAGGTTAGTCACAGTAATTGTAAAATCATTCATAAGATACCGATACTTTCAACGAATGACTAAAATACTCAACTATGCCGCCACTTCCTAAATGGGATAGACTTTCGTAAGGGAAAAACTATGCCCTCCTTGTGAGTAGAGATAGCATGAAGCTAGTGATTATACATGATCCAAATATATCACAACCAAAATTTGTGATGGTCCATTTTGGTTTCAATTATACAAGTAGAATAATAGAATATACCTTGCATGGACCATTTCGGTTCAGTTGGAGACTCTACTAAGGTTGAATCACAACCAGCCACACAAATGCGATTACATACATCTCTGCAACGAAGTATAACATAAAGCACAAAAAAAAATTATTTTTCTATAATGAGAAAAATTAAAGTCTAATAGCTCAACAAAACAGAGAACATGTATTACAGCCTAGATATTATAATTTATTCTTTCCCTTTTGTTATAGTGGTATTCAAGTCTAGGGCAACCAAAAATTTAACATGCTCTTAAAAGTCATACCATGACGCCAACATGCAAATATAGCGCCACCTCAAGTTTCTTGAAGTGTCCTCCTATTCAAGGCAGCAGCCTAGATTTAATAGGCTGCAATGGCACGTGGGCTCAAGCCTGGCCTGAATTTTTATAATTGGCCATGTGCTAAGCCTGAACCTGGCCCATGGTGCAAGTAGGGCTGCTCGTAATTGGCAGCCCTACACTTATAAGGCTGCCAATGGACCGGTTCCAGACAAGTCCAGGATTGGCTAGAGCCAACCTAAGCATCTAAAGCCAATCGTCGGAGAAGTTCGAACCCAAAAGAACGAAAGTTCAGGAAAGAGAACAGATATTATTTTAATTTCGATCGAGTAAGAGAGGGATTTATCACCTTTTGGCACTAAATCTCAAGGCTGAAACACCATTCCCATTTTCAGAGACAGAATGGACCCTTTCTTAGCAAGTAATTTTAAGGATAGAAATATATCACTAGGTTTCTGATTTCTAAAATTAGATTTGGGTTCAAGTGAAGAAAGAAATATTCTTAGGGGTAGAAAGAGACTTTTAGGATTCAAGTGAAAGAAAAGGTATTGAATAAAGAGAGCAGGGTTTGAAGAGGGATAAAAAAATATTGATTAAGAGAAAAATTTTAATTAAGGAAAAAGTGAGCTGGATAGATTTGGGATAAGGTAGATTTTAAGAATAGAAAGAGATTCTTAGGGTTCAAATGAAAGAAAAGGAATTGTACAAGGTCTGATTTAAATTCTTCAAATCTGATTTGAATGAAAAATTAATAAGAAGAATGGAAGAAACAAGAACTTGTCTATGGCATGAAGAAAAAAGAGAGGAGACGAGAGATTTAGAGTTTGAAGAAATAGAGATTACACGATGATTACCAAGATTAGAATGATTACCAAGATTAGAAATAGGTTGATCTTAACACTTGGATCCATTGTCACGCCCCAAGTTTTATAACACTAACATTCCTGACGTGTGACAGTCTATTCTTAAACTATAGATAGAACAATTCAGAATTTCCACTATATATTGCACCAAAACTGATTTTTCCATTCAAAAATTTCCAAATTTGTACAAAGTCTACTCACATCTTGTATTAACATGAAAGTCTATATGTATATACAATTTTGATAGAACCAAAGTTACAAAGGCGAACTTTAACCATGACTACAAACTTCTTCCAAGCTACTCCTGTTGTACGAACGAATAATAAGGCTGCAATCACTCTGAAAAGAATTCACAATAGTTTGATGAGTTTTACTACTCAATAAGTGATCGTCATAATCCTTAAAAATCATAATTGGAAAATGTAAATATTTTCTAAAGGAATGCATATTGAAACAATATGAGGAAGAGCATACATGGATAACTATTCAAAATTCTTATACAGTTTAACATAATTTCAAAAGTTTTGAATGCATTTTAAACCATATAAGGAAGAGCAAAAATACACAATTTAACATAATTCAGAAGATGTCAAAATACCCTACTAGAGTCCCAAGTAGATCACCAATATACCCTATCAGCGTCCTAGATGGGTCCACTTAATCACTGCCGACGTACCGGATAGGTCCACTTATTTCTCACCGGCATACCGAATGAGTCCACTTAATCCCTATCGGCATACCGGATAAGTCCACTTATATCTCACCGACGTTCCGGATGAGTCCACTTAATTCCTACTGGCGTACCGGATAGGTCCACTTATATCTCACCGGCGTACCAGATAAGTCTACTTAATCCCTACAGGTGTATCGGATAGGTCCACTTATATACTTAAAATATCTTTGAAACTCATTATCACTAAATATCAGGAAACAATAATATCGTATATTCAAAATATCTTTGAAATCATTAACATGACTTCACATGAAGCAATTTATATCAATCACTTTCATAGACATTTCCATAAATAACCAATCAAATATTTTGACCTATAGTTTCCAAAAGGTAGCAGTTCTGCGAGATATTATTGAAATTTAATATGATAAGCAATCTATTGACAATAGAAGAACTCTTATGGAAATCCAGAGTTAAGTACTGAATTTTCAACTATCTAAAATCCTTAACAATAAAAGGAAATATCACAAATTTATTAAATACGAAAATACAATTTTTTTCAAATAATCATGTTACAGGAACGTGTAAAACTTTTAGCGTTTAAAATTCACATACGGAAATATTGCAATTTAATTAAATGCAAAAATACAAATTTTTAAATAACTGTTTTACAGGAAAATAAGGTCACTTGCACATAACGCTTACAGAATCTAAAATTCATACTGATAGACGGAAATATTACAATTAAATACAGAAATACAAGTTTTTATGTGACTATTTTACAGGAAAATGAGATTGCTTACTTTTATATGTCACGAGATAGGTATGTTGCTACTGTCGCCAGAATAAGACTGGGATTAATGGCATTCAGCTAAAGGTATGGGTAGAGAGACCAAATGAGTTTATATAATTATATGTTCATATAAGAGAGAGAGAGAGAAATATTATATGCCTATGAGAGAGAGAAGAACCCTTATGAGGAGCGAAAAAATTTATATAATTGTTTTTATGAAAACATTATGAGAAAGAGAGAATATATTATGAGAGACATTCTTGAAATTTAATATGATAAGCAGTCTATTGACAATAGAAGAACTCTTATGGAAATCCAGAGTTAAAAATTGAATTTTCAACTATCTAAAATCCTTTACAATAGATGGAAATATCACAAATTTATTAAATACGAAAATACAATATTTTTCAAATAATCATGTTACAAGAACGGGTAAAACTTATAACGTTTAAAATTCACATACGGAAATATTGCAATTTAATTAAACGTAGAAATACAAATTTTTAAATAACTGTTTTACAAGAAAATAAGGCCACTTGCACATAACACTTACAGTATCTAAAATTCATACTGATAGACGGAATTATTACAATTAAATATAGAAATACCATTTTTTATATAACTATTTACAGGAAAACGAGATCACTTACATGTATATGTCACGAGATAAGTATGTTGCTATTGTCGCCAGAATAAGACTAGGATTAATGCCGTTTAGCTAAAGGTATGGGAAGAGAGACCAAATGAGTTTATATAATAATATGTTCATAAAAGAGAGAGACAGAGAGAAATATTATATGCCTATGAGAGAGAAAAATCGTTGAGAAAATTTTTATATAATTGTTTTTATGAGAACATTATGAGAGAGAGAATATATTATGAGAGAGAGAGGAACATTATGAGAATACATTATTATGGGAACAATATTATTTTTTTATGAGAATGAGAGAGAAAAATTCTATTTTTAAGAGAACATTATCATTATGAGAATAATACTATCATTATGAGAATAATACTATCTTCATGAGAATATTATGAGAACAATGTTATGAGAAAATAATATTAGAGAAAAATTATTCATTATGGGAACATTGTGAGAGAATAAAAATTCGTCATGAGAGAGAAAGAACTTACAAGAAAAGAGAGAAGACCCACATGATTAGATATGATGAGACTATGAGGGGTATTTAAAGTGAGAGAGAGCCCTTCTCTATGTGACACAAGTTTGATTATGTGTCCTTTTATTTTTGTTAATTCCTTAATTGTATGTGCCACCTCATCAAAATGAATACTTCATGATTGACACGTCACCTCACGCTTATAATCATCTTTAATTTATTAATATTTTTGGTGTAAAAACGTGTAAATGAAAAGTTTGTAAAAGTATGGTCCCATGGTGTTTTTCATAACACAATGGACTAGCATTCCAAATTATTTCTTTACATAGGTATTTTATTATTCAGTTCCAAAAATTTAGGGTCATCACATCCATAATGCTTTGAAACCATGAGAAACTTTATCAAGAAAGGAAGAGAAGAAGGAGAAGAGGAAAAGTGTATAGAAGGAAGAAGGTTGGGTCATTCCATTTAATCAATGTGGGGATGTACAGTAATACATACCGGTGTTAGGATTAAGAGCAAGTCACACTTATATACGTGAGGGACATTGCATAAATAAAAGACATAAGAATGGTGAATATTCCAACTACACTCTAATACAAAGAGAAAACATCTCATAAAATGTAGAGCAAGAAATGGAAAATATTAGAATGAGTGGGTTCACAATGACAAAAAAGGATATCTTTATCCTTGAAATTCTAGAACATAAAGAACCACCAATCACAACCTACCTCCCTAAGAGTGTAAAAAAATGAAATATGACCAAGTAACTTCTACAATTTTAGTCTAATGAAACAACCATAACTCTAGAACCATTTATTTGATTTGACAGGTAAGCATGCAAGAAATGAAAGGAGCACACATGAAGTCTTCTTCTTACCCGTTCTTAGAGATATCCGCAACCCAAATTTCTGCCTTATCCCAGTGCATGTTTGGATGACTCCATTCAACCCATGCAATTCTTTTTCCTTCTGGACAAATCCTTGGGAAGGCATAGAAATCATTGCCACTTACCAATACTTTTGGCTCTTCCAAAAACAAGATTCAAAGTGTCAACAATAGATGGATAGAGGTCTATAAGGAAGAATGAAAGATGAAAGAAAAAGGACTCATTAAATGAAGAAGCCTAACAAATATCTTCTTACACTTAATGATGCTAGTCAGCAATATTGGATTGGTATTGATGAGTGAGAAAAGTACATTAACATATGGCACACACTCCCTTGGAAATATAGAAGATATAACTACTTTACAACACAAACATGTGAAGATAATTTCTATTAAATCAGAAACGTAGCATCAAAAGCCTATTTGTGGAGACCATTTTGGACATCTATAAGAACTCCAACTACTATTAGGGTTTGTTTAATACTTTTGGATAATATTTTTGATATGGATGTGAAATTGGGCAGGTATATTCCCTGACCAAGCTCAAAGTTCAAAAGAAATTTTTTCGAACTTTGTGCCACACCCTAGCGATCAAATTTCATATCGGATGGTCATAGGCAACTGTGACCTCCTTGTACCATAGGTAAATAGTCTCATTGTATACAATCCCTTCGGAGAATGGCCAGATTAAAATTAGTTCTTGAGATTTTGGGCCACTAGATTTCTACATACATGATGTGGCTTAGCACTGAGGCACTTGACATTGAATCAAAGTGGTAGGGTTAGATATGGGCAAGGTTCGCCCAGGCAGGGTTGAATGGGGGCCCAACCCAACCCTATCCCTAATAAAGCGTGCACAGTAAACTTTTGCTAGGCACAGCACCAGGCCGGCCCAACCTGTTCCTATTGATTCCTAGCTGCCCAAACCACGGGCCTTCTTGATAGTTATTGTCCTCATCAAAGTATGCTTCTCTACTTCGCATAGCTTTTGTGTTATATTCTCTTTCCTACGATGCATCCATCCCTCCCTTCAATGCAGGATCATTTCTCTACAGCATGCTAATCATATTCTTTTCATCAAACTCTCCATCCAGTCTAATATATCCCCATCCCTCTTTCCCTCCACAAATTCATATGAGTGTTCTCTCCAACTAGACATATTCCCCCGCCCCCCTCTCTCTCTCAACTAATACTAGTATTATCTCCCCCTAAACCAATATGTATTCATTCTTTCCCTCTGTCATATGTATTCTATTTCCCACCCGATCTCTCTCAAAACATAAGAGAGTCATCTCACCCTAAAACCCACACATATATCCCTTCCCCTCTCTCTTTCTCTATCATCCAAACATTCTCTCTCTTTCTCTCTCTCTCTCTCTCTCTCTCTCAACATTCACAAGAAGATCAAAGTACTCCCATATCTTGTATGTTATTTTGCTGTCACCCATTTTTTTGATAAGAGCTTTCCAATTTATAAAGTATCTTTCATGATTCCTAGGGCAGCCCAGTCAAAACCATTGTTCTATTACTTGTAGATTCATTGTACAAAGTGGAGAAAAAGGCAGAAGATAGTGTTGTTCATAGTTCATTGTGAGAGAGAGAGAGCGAGATATAGAGAGAGAAGAACAACCACTACATTTAGCTCAATGTCTTACCCCCATTTAAAAAGAGATGAATTGGGGTAAGGGAGAGAGGATCCTGCCATAATCTATTCAATTGTAGCAGGGCTCGCCCATTGCAGATAATCCTCTACCTAGTTACTCCACCAACACAATCACAGCATGACCAGTGACCATATTATTCACCTTTGAGTCTTTGCATGACAACAGAGAACTTGTGGCAATGCTTTGCTCTCCCTGGGTTATGGAAGGGCACATGTACACATTATTTCTGTCAAGTCAAACAAATGCTTGTTTTATTGGGGTTTGAAACCTTTATATGTCTGAACACTTATTCCTTATTAAACATCTGTTTTGTTTTCCCCAAGTGTATCCTCGAGCTTTATCTTTATAGATTCCTCTCAGTTTGAGTAGGAGTTTTCTCCACATGGGTACCTAGAGCAGCACATGAGTAGGAAGTGGGGTTCTGAATGGGATATAACAGGCTCCATTACTCTCGCTATAGTGTGTTAATAGGCCTTGGCTAGATAAGTGAACCCGCACACCATGGACTGGTTGTATTTAATCCCATGATACACATCATCGAAGAGGGTCCACAGGTATCTCATCCAAATCGGCTGTAACTAGGGTGGATGTTATTGGTTTGCATGGAGATGAACAAAGCTCCTGGATGTAGGATGATTAGAGAGAATTCCAAATCTAATTGATGTTCTGTCATGGAATCCCAATTAGAAGAGGAAGTTTCTAAAGAAGGTTCTATTTGACTCCACATCGAATTGGAAGAGTGTTCGACGTATGAATCTTCCAAAGGATAATGGTGCATTATCCACCCTTGATTCATGATGGCCGGAAAAGTTATGGATGGCCCTACTCAAATCAGGAATCTCCCCTTAGAATTATAAAACAAGTTCCCTTTATTGAAAGGAATGGCAATGTGGAACTCAAAGTAGTAAATTCAAAATTTTTCTCTTTCTTTTATTCAATGTACCTGAATTCCACTTGCATGGACCACTATACACTTCTGTAAATCAAAATTAAAACCCTAAACACAGCCTAGGATCTTTACTGCCAAAACAAATAGATACTATCTAGGAGTAATAACCAATCATCCATTATGATTCTAAGTACAAAATATGTTCCTGAAAATTCACACAAAAATATGAAATATGATTGAAAATTAATTAAAGCAACTGGAAAGGCTTACTAGAAGATTCCCCTCACAGGGTTTGATACACCCCACACCTGATTCCCTGATCGACCACGAACTATTCATCCTTTAGGTCATGTTGAAATTTTTGAGATAGGGAAGCTTTATAAACAATACCTTTTAACCTAGGGATTTAGAGAGCTCAAAAACTCTATTAGGGTTTGTAGAAACGCTATAGGAAGAAATTAGAGCTTAACTATTCAATCGATCTCTCTCTAGGATGCATGTACCTCTCTTTTCTTCAAAACCAGTAAACCCTAGCTTTAGGGTTTCATATGGCACCTCCTATTTCTTTTCTTTTTGGGTGAAGTGACAAGTAGGAGAAGAGGGGCTGGTGTGCCAAGAATATGCGAGAGAGAGGATGGCGAGAGAGAGAGAGATCTTGGGGCGTGAGAGAGAGAAATCTAGTTCTTAGATTTTGAGAAGTTCATAGATTTAAATAGTAACAAATCTACCTCCCACTTGAAGTAGGATTCCATCTAGGTATGCCTTATCTTATTTTCCAACTTGACTTTTAGGATATTTAGGGAATCTGTGGGGTGAGAGAGTAAATCTGAGCCATCCATCCCACAAATCAGCCATTATAATTTTAAGTGGACATTAGGAACCTTATCCCCTTATAATTTGACCCAAGACCAACTTCTATTTAAATTTAAATTATAACCACTTTTAATATTATCTAGATCTTTCATAATCTATAGGAAGTCAAATATAAATAAAAAGTCCCACTTGAATAGGGAACAAATCTATTTTTAATTAAAGAGATTCCCTAACCGTCTTTTAACTAAAAGATGGCACATAAAATAACAACAAAGTGTCGTGCCACCCAGGGACCTTATGTGGGACCCACAAGGCCACAATCCCCATTCATAGTGGCACAAACATGTGGGGGCTAGATCCTTAGTCCCCACATGTGCCCTTCGAAGTTCTGAAATTTTTGAAAAATGCCCCTTTAATGAATTTTATACCAGAAGTAAATTTTTAAAACTCAGGAAAATTTGTAAAAATCATAAAAACATTTTTACTACTAAAATAAACTATTTTAGAAGTGGTACTAATTGGCGACAATAAGGCACACCACTTGACGCAAGAACCATGGTCCACTATTGTTTTCTTATTTAACTCAACAAAGACCCATGACCCACAGTCTCCTTGCGGGGGCTCATGATTCACTTGTTAAAGTCGGACAATAAGCAGTGGAACCATGATCTTGGAATGAGGACTTCAGTCCCCCACTCCCACCCATCCACCCCCTCTATAAGGTAGTAATGCGGTTGCCATGTGTGCTTTCCATGGGGAAGGTTGTTGAGGCTTTGGCCCTTGCTCTCACAGGATTACAACCGCACACAAGAGACCACATAGTTCTCTTGACCTAGAAACATCATCCCTGGGCATCTCTTCGACCTCAACAAGGAATGACCCACCGTAAACCCTTCTCCATAGTGCCACATGCCCAGGGAAAAGATTTTTGGACATAGCCGAGGCCATAAACTGTCCAACCCAGGGTCAGTCAACATGCACACTCCCACTGAAGTGCATATTTATTATAAAGTATCATTTTACAAGCGCTCTAGGCCTCCCACATGATGTCCTAAAGACAAATTATTATGAATCAGGCATATTGAATACGTTTGGGATCCTCTATTTCCAATAGTGTAGGGATAAAGTGGATATAAAGGGAATATGTTTTCTAATTCTAAAGGGAGATTTCTAGTGTGAGTGGGGATGTTGACTTATGGATTAAATAGGGAATCTCAAACGTATTTAATACATATGAAGGCATAACGGTTGGCTGTCAGGACCCTTGCTGGCTGCGTGCGTGTTGGTCAAGGATGAGGCTCGCAAACCTCCCTTGATGCACCACCCAACCGGCCTGATGCCTCACCTGGCCCTCTTGCTAGCCTTAAGCATTGCCCAACAAGCCTCACACACCAGCCTGGTGCACAGGTAAGTTCCATGCGTGCATAGTGCGCAATTATGCCACCTGGGCACTAGGAACGTCCACTCTTGAATTCGAAGTTGTTTAGGCATACACTTCTTATTGAAGGGATGGTGGAAGCCTTGGGTCAACTGGCGGATAGCAGTGAACAAGGCCTGTATGCAGCAGCATGTTGCATGAGCCTGTGCACCACAGTTTGGCACAAATCAATTGTGGGCTGACCGTGGGTTTTAATGCACCTAAGTTGGGCAGGCGCCATGTTCAAATTCAAATGAGCCAAGAGGTGGGCCATGTGAGTGTAACGGCTAAGACGTGGGCGTAACAACAAGAACGTGGGCCACAAAAATAAAGGCGATAGTTACATGCAGAGGCGTG